AAAAGATAGATATTTTTAAAAAATATATAAAATTTATATAACATATTTTTGTATAAAATGTTTTTATATAAATAAGACCATAATTAGAGCATAAAAGAAATTTAAAATACACACGCGATATTATACTTAACGCTCGCGTAACGCGACGACATTTAAATCTTATTTTATTAACCTTGTTTCCTTGTAATTAAAATGTATTCGTGGATCGCGAGGGGCAGTTCAATCATTACCAAATCGATTACACTATTATATCGCGAAACGAGGCCACCGTCGTTCAACGCGCTTGCGATCGAAGCGGAAACTGTTTTGAAACTGTCGTGTTTTATCAACGCGCGAGAGCGCGATATTGCACGCGAGCCGCTAAATGTTGCGAATATAATAGTTAATGGAGAGGTTAATGGTTAATAAACTAGGTTGTCGTTATTTCGCGCATCGTGCATATTTCCTCCGTTTAGCCCTTCAATTCTCCGATTATTTCGTGAAACGAGAAACGTTTTGCAACGAGCATATTAAACAATTTATTCTTTTTCTACCGTTACACACGTTTTTTTAAATTTTTTTTGTTAAACAAAGATTTCACAAATGTAGAAATTGTTTTCACAAGAAGAAAACATTTTTTTGTTCGCAAAAAAAATGGTTTTATCAAACATATATCGTATTTAAAAATAAAAAAATACCAGCTACATCCATGATAAAACTCGAAAATAAAAAATCATACACAATTTTTCATATTTAAAAATATTTATTCTCTTATGCTTTTCTAGGCCGCAATTTCATCGTAAATCAAAAAGAGAAAATGGCAGGTTTTAATCATTCTTGTTTAAGATTCATATAAATTATCAAAATTCACACACATAGACATAGTTGGCTATATTTCAATCTTTAAAGCCATACTCGTGATATATTTTAAAGAATACATATTTCGAGCGTGTGCGTAAATTTCCAACTAACGATAAAATATATTTTGCGTCGAACTAACCGTCGAGCGATAGATCTTTTAGGTGGAAGAAAGCGTTATTATCACGATTCACAGTCAAAATTTTGAAAAGGTTACACGCTCCGCATACTCGAGGTAAACCTTGTGTATAGGATCTGCCTTACCCGCCCAGATCAACAACAGGTAGAAAAGCGGAGGGTTGTGTAGCCTGTTTCATCTAATAGCTTGCCGAAAGATTACTACACTCCTACCTAAACGTCCACTGTCAACCACGCGATAACAATCGGTTCGTTCAACATATTTGTGACGCGATCGTGTCACGAAAACTCATTTCCCTCCGTCCGATCTCTTCAACATTTACGATCGTTTCCTGCGTCAATTACGTGGATTTGTTGAAATTTAATCTGGTCAATAATTTTTAGTCGATGCATAAACCATTTTTTTTTTTTGTTATTCAAGTTAAATTTATTGCATATATATTATTTATATGATTCTTTAAATATCGAAGATTAACAGCATAATATATCGATAGATAATAATATAATATACAATTAAATCTGTATAAATTAAAGGAATTTATTTAATTTAAAATATATAAAGTTAATCGTTCAATATACTTATTTAAGTAAAATTCTAACGTGAGTTCCCTACTATTATACACAGCGCGCAAAAATACCACGAAATACATCGCCAACCGGTACAAATAAAAAAAATGTGTAATGATAATCATAAAACAAAATTGTTAATAATGTTTGATCTCGATTCTAATTTCGAGGAAAGTGCAAAAAGGAAATTTACTACCCTATATAAAAAAAAAATTTACGGTAACCCCAAACGACCACTTCGTAAAACGGTTCTACACGGAGCGTTTTGACGTTTGACGGATTACGTAACGAAACGAGGAAGAAAATTTTCTCGCCGAACGACGCGCGAGGGAGAGAAAAAGAGAAAAAGAGAGAAAGAGGAAACGATACGATCCGTCGCGGCGAGTGTTTGCCCGCGTAAAATATTTGCGCGTAGAGTCGAGCTCAAACACGTCGGCCTGTCATTTTCCGTGTGGTACGACATTGCGCGTATTTGTGCGCCGCACGCTATGCCGAAGGCGCGTTCTTCGGCACGTTTCGGCGCGTGCGAAAGCGCGCGCGTAAGCCATACGCTCGTGCTCGCCTGTGCATATACGCGTATTATCTATGACTATGTACACGCATATATCGCGTGCCGTTGCGTGACCCTCGTTGCCCCAAAATTTCTTCGCATAAATGTATAAATGGCATTAATCGCTCTTCCTTGCCCGACTTTATAGTATTTTACAGAAAACTAACAGTAAGCTTCTAAGTTTTCTCCCTCGTCATTTTTAATTTTTAATTTATTTGACATTCTTATCGAAGAATGAAATATACAATGCACCCTCTCTTGTATTTTTAGACTCAAATAAATTCGGGAAAATTAGGAAAATGATTTAAAATATTTTAGAAGGATTATAATTCCAGAAAATTACACACGTGCTATGTGACAATTGAGAATATGACGCATTAATCGAGAAAAGTTTATATATCACACAGATTAGATCTCGATATACATAGAAGAAGATTAAGATATTTCGAAAGGAGAATAAATTTAAAAAAAGATGCAAAAAGTTCATTAAATGCATTCACTTGACCGTTTAAGTGAGAGAGAAGCTTCGTTGAATTTGTGTTTTACTTTTTAAATTTTACCACTTTAATTTCATAGAACGTAGTGCAACGAAATGCGCGAGAAAATGCGAGAAAATGCGAGAAAAGCGCTAGAACGGAATCTACTAGGAGTGTCGAACGAACGAGAGAAGCGAATTAATGCCTTTCACCGTGATACCGATCGTTAATACTTCGCCGTTACGCGAGTCGCCGTGAAGTTGTCTCGCGATTCCTCGCGATGCATCTACATTCACGTAATATAACGGATCGCGTATAAAATATACCATCTCGGAATTGCTGACTTACAATATCTAGAGATTACTACGAGATGTAAAAAGCCATAGATTAACGCTCTTTATCGCGATTAATATACATATATATATATATATATACACACATATACAGTGACCTTTAGTTTACACACTGTTGCGACTATCAGATTTTTATCACAAGGCCGTCTCATGATATCTTCGCTTTCAACACGTTCGCGCCTAAAGAACGTAAAATTTGACAAAATTGACGTATGAAAAATGTCCCACGAGATATCAGCAGCAATCCTTAACGGATTATCGTAGGAATGTAACTTGGACTCACCTAGAATTCACTCCATCGTCGACAGGCACTTCGCTCCGAAATTGCCGCTTTTGATAGCTCCCGATGTTCTCTGGCACTTGCACACACATATACACACTCGGTATTTCGCGCACGGTACCCCGACGGTGGAGATAAAGAAAGGGGCACGACGATCACGACAACGTCCGACGATGGATCCCCGGATAGGGGGAGGAACGACGACGACGACGACGACGAGTTGCACACGGGATATCGTTGATTCCCTCAGAAGGGCCGCGGCGAGCGATGCCGACGCGATCCCGTCGAACAGTTCGTCACGGTCGATAGAGGTGCACGGACGAAAGCAAGCGCCATTTTATCCCGTGCATTCGCGGCAACGCGAAAGGTGGACGGACGGCGGCGGTGCACCGCGCGCGCGACGCGACGAGGAAAGAGAGAGAGAGAGAGAGATAGAGAGAGAGAGAGAGTGTACGCGCTCCTCTCTCGCGTGCGCTTGTCTCTCCTTTTTCCCTCCCCTTTTCTCTCTCTCTTTTCAACGGTTCACCACTCCACTCGTACAGACGCGAGTCGCGAATCGTTGCACCGTATAATCGGCGAGAAGAATTTATCGTAGATGGAACGCGTCGCGAACGGATTTAAGCCGCGCACTGGATTATCACCACTTTCACATTGTAGACTTCTTCGGTGCGAAGTTGCCGGTGCGACTGACGACACCTTTGGAGCGACTCGCGTTTCAACTCCGAGCATGAATAGAGAATAAAAACAAACGACGATCTCTCGATGTATAGACACCCGTGTTACTGTTCCGATGTTTGTTTATCGATTCGAATTCCACGGTTATTTTTCTCTCGCGCGACACACAAGTCCGTTCGTTCTCTCCTTTACGTTTATCTCTCTCTTACACGCTCTTTTACGTTTTCTCCCTTCTGTTCAGTTTGTATTTCGCGAAACGAGGAACGACGCCGGCGCGACCGCACCGTCGTGTACAGCGAGAGGACACGAACTGAAGCGCCGAGCGACGGTGTCGAACGGTGGAGGTTGCCCGGCTGGTTTCCACCGCGTATACCGCTATTCGGCCGTCTTACACTAGCGCCGCCACCCGAGCTGCACCCTCATCGCGCCGGCCATCTTCTCTTCTCTCTCCGCGTTCTCGCGCTCTTCTCCCCTCTCCTGCCCCGCGTGTCGTCGTCGTCGATGCCAGCGAGATGCGTGTCATCGCGCGCGCGCGACGCGATGTTTTGTCTCGATAATGAAGCGATCCTCGCGTGCGAATCGCGGAGACCGACAAGCGTTATTTCGTTATACCACGACGAATATATTTCGCGAGATCACGGCCGAGGGAGAGAGGTCATTGATTTTTTGAGCCCGTCAAGTGTAACCCGCGCACATGCGCACTAATATCTCGGCGGCGTGACATCGGCCGGTCGGTCGTCCTCTCGTACTCCGGAATGTCCTAGGCCGCGCGAATATATCCCGCGCGCGTCGCCGACTTTCGCCCTTGGCACGGCACTCACCAACTGTCGTTCGAAATCTGCACGAGTTTCCACTGCCGTGAATATCGCCGCGTTGAATCACGTGATCGAGACGCAAGGCTGCCTCCCTTGATGATAGATTATTTTGAAAATGCCACTTCCCCATGTAGAATGATTTCATAGTTTTATAGAGATTTTATCTTATTGTAAAATTTTATTATGTTAAGAAATTATTATGCTTATAGTGAGTTATCAAAACGTTAATGTAATATCCATAATCGTTGCATTTCAATTTAGTATTTTTATTTGGAAAAATAGGTTAATTAGTAATGTCAAAAAGTATTTGTATTAAAAATTGATGAAAATGGAGATTAATTTTCTTTAGTTGTGACGACTGGATCAAAGATTAAATAATATTTATGACGTATCGTTTGAGAGTTCAATTTTCAATTTTTCAGTCCATAAAATCAAACTGTGATTGCGCTCTACATTTAAATCGAACGGCGAAAAATGCGCAAGCTTCACTTCACTCTTTCGAGTCGGAAAATTACAGGAAAGGATAAAACGCGGCAGTGTTATCGCTAGAATTATCAGATTATCGATGAACGATCTTGATAACATTATCGTGTGAATTTCGATTAGCTTCATTAGTAGTCAGTGTATGTACATACGCATATATACGTACATATCTTGAATATGTGATATTAACACGCGTATATGTATATCGAATATAAACGTGACATAACCATATACATATATATCAAATATAGAACGCGAATGTTGTATAATAATTTTTATGGCTAATTATTTTAACAAACGCGTTACAATATTCATCAGATTGACTTATTACTATTCACAATATTTTAGATCGCATGAGTGTTTGCGTATGACACTAGTAAAAATCGAGAAAATTTCGGACCAACTCTCGATAATCTAGACTAGATAACACTAAGTGAGAAACTATGTTGACAAACGTGAGGACGGAGAGCATGGGAAAAAAATTTCAGGAGCGTGAGCCTTGTTTTGTTTACAATACACGCAGCGCGCGAGTACAATTGTTAATCCGCTCAAAAATGTAACGACGTAAAGCGTTACGTTGAACACAATCGGCAAAATATTTTCTCGCTTAATATTACAAATTTTCTCTACATTAAAAATATCAGAAGTACATACCGATAAAATTGTTTGCATATCTATAACGTTGAATATTCCGCGGTGGTGCCACAAATGTGAGTGCAAAGATTCAGAGAAAGCATCGCGGAAATCGTAAAATTAATCGCAATTTTTGTATCATTTTCGAATAAATGTTGGCTACATGAAAAATATCGAGAAGTTCATCTATAACATTGAATATTCTGCGGCGACGCCAAATCGCGCGTATCAAAAGTGTAACGGAATAAAAATGCCTAAGACATATACGTTTCATTTCGTTTGGTTTCGAATGCAAAAAGTTCGAGGACGGCATCGTGGGAATTATAAGTTGTAAAATTAATTGCAGATCGCAATTTTCGTATCGTTCTCGAATAAATGGTGGTTACGTTAAAAATATCGGGAAGTGCATTTATATATATAACATTGAATATTCCGCAGCGACGCCAAATCGTGCACGTCGAAAGAGTGCGAATAAAAATGTCTTATACAATAGTTTCCGAAACGCATAAGACACATACATACATTTTATTTCGTTTGATTTTGAATGCAAAAAGTTCGAGGACGGCCTCTTGGAAATTGTAAGTCGTACAATTAATCGCAGGTTGTAATTTTCGCATCATTCTCGAATAAATATTGGTTATATTAAAAATATCGGGAAGTGCATCTATAAAGTTGGATATTTTGCGGCAACGCCAGATCGCGCACATCGAAAGTGTGACATAATAAAGACATAATAAAATATTATAGTCTCCGAAAAGCGTAAGACGTACGTTCTATTTCGTTTGATTTTGAATGCAAAAAGTTCGAGGCCGGCCTCACGGAAATTGTAAGTCGTAAAATAAATCGCAAATCGTAATTTTCGTATCGTTCTCGAATAAATGGCGGTTACGTTAAAAATATCGGGAAGTGCATCTATAACATTGAATATTCTGCGGCGACGCCAAATCGCGCGCGCATCGGAAGTGCAACGTACTAATAATATAGGGATGCATCCGGGTAACGTTTCGTTTCGTTTCGAATGCGAAAAGTTTAAAAGAAGTGCATAAAAGTGAATCTCTTGATACTTTGTGTCCTTGGCTGCATCGAATCGCATCGTTGTACAACCTTGGTTACGTCGATTCGTTACATCGCAAGGCATCGTATCCTAGGACATCACTAGGATATTACGAGTATGTATATAATCTGCGTTTCAAAATCGCCATAATTCCCGCAACTTTACAAAATAAAATTTTATACTAATTCTTTTAAATTTCTGAATGTTTTCAGGGTAAGTTTATTTCGGGGTAATAATGGTTTTTTCGGCGTCATCGAGGTAAGAGTAAACTAAAAATTATTCATTATATGTATATATTATCTTTACGATGATATATCATCAAATGTGAGAAATTTAAATTCGCGAGGTATCTCCGAATATAACTGCTTCATTTTTTTATCTGGTCTACAAATAATCATAGCGAGAGGTACTTTTTGATTTATCATATTTTTGAAAGTCACAATTATTCATATATAGACCACACACAGAAAGTAAATAACAAATAACATAAATTCTCATTAGTGCTCGGTGTCAACTAATGTTTCTATAATTGCTTTAAACCAATATATTCTTTATATATTTCATTTAATTATTGTTTATATTAATAAATAATGAAATATTGAAATAAAGAAAATAAATTTAACAATTTTGTATTGTATGTATAGAGTAAAAAAAGGTTCTTTGAATTTTTTTTACTATTATGATCTGAGAGAGAAAGACACACACACACGATATTATAATTAATTTATCATAACTAAAAGTTGGCATTCTAATCAGAGGAATTGCTCAGTAGGATACATGAGATTCGCAATCCTGTGGATATTTGTCAAAAATACTTATATTTACATAGTTTTGTATTTAAAAAATTAAAGTATAATAAAATTAATATTTTTATATTTAAACGCACAGAATCTTAAAATTGATATAGATAAATCTTTTGGATTTTAATCTAATTTTCTCTGGATTTTACAACTTATAAATATAAAGATTAAATATATTCTAATATGTATAATAATTTACTCACCCCAAAGGTTTTATTGAAGCGATCATTGTTTGATTTTGTAATGACTTCAAATTAAATTTATTGAATTATTGATATAAATGATTAAATATAAAGAATTAAATATTAATTTATTGAGACAATTAATCAAATGGCAGTAAGACAAAGGAAAAATTGTTCTTAATAATGATGTGCATTTAACATAGAATAAAATATCAAGAAATAAATATCATTATTTTACATATATTATACTATCGTCTAAAAATATTTCAATAAGTTTACATTTTTTGTAGATACAATTATTTTATTGAAAATAACTATATTTATTTATGAATGCGTTGTATACGTCATTTATTAGCACATTTATAAATAAATGTAGATATTTTTGATAAAATAATTGTATCTGTGTGGAAGAGAAAAAAATACTTTTATCAAAAAATTACGAAATGCTCCAAATTTTAAGCAATATACTTTAAGAAAAGATCTTGAATTTTCAACGTGTTTTACTCAATCTGTAAGAACATTTTGCAATACTTATGATTTCGCACATTCGTGATACCGTTTCGCAAGTAACCGAGTCTCTTTGTCAGCTCGAACTAGAAAAAACGTTGCATGAGACTCTTCGCTTTTAACTACATTGGGTATAGGAATGTTATGAAAGCCTCTCAAGATCTTTTCGCACCTCTATATCATTCATATCCTGAAAAGGCATTCAGCCGAGAAGTTCATATATCAAGATACCCAAGTCTCAATAATCCGTAGTTCTTTAAAGCCAATTGTAAAGAAACAATATTTAAAATCTGAGTCATTCTCTCTTATAAATGTTATTGAAATATTTGATAAAAGTGAATTACGTGAAATACGACACGATACCTCGATCGCGAAGTCGATATATATTAATATTCTTTAATTTCCGGTACTAAATATTCGGGAGATTTTGCGAAGGTCTTGGTCTTGTGAGTATCTATCATTTTACTAGAGCCAAGATTGGTCTATAACTAAAATTACATTGTTATCAATTAGTATATATGATTAAAATATATAGTTATAATATAAAGATATTGATCTGACTTGATTTGGCGCAAAATAGAAAAAATCCTGATCATTAAGGCTGTTCTCAATGCTCGCTCTCTCTCTCTTTCTAGCCGCAACTGAATTACAATTTCCGATAACAGAAAGATTAGCGATCTTCGTCGATCCGGCCCGATACCTATATTCGTCGGGGCGCGCCGGAAGCATTAAATTAGTTGCCATAATTGCGGCAGATACGGCAAGGAAAATTGTAATCGTCGCGAACGATACGAGTTATGGTTATTAGAGGCTCGTAAACGATGGATAGCGATAGTTCGAGCGATCGATATAAGTGTTGAGAAGAGACATATGACAGGTCACCGTATATAGGATCGCGAATGTCAGTGATCAACGATTGTTGCATATATTATATTTACATCATAGATAAATTTTCTTCTCTTCCTTTTTTCATAATTTTCAAGATAAATTCAAGATAAAAACGTTTTATATAATTATTTTTATCATCCCCCAATTATTAAACTTTAATAATGTATTGCACATTTTACGTTTTGTTTTGTGGGCTTGTCATCTGAAAGATGAACAATTAATTCTGCGTTGAGAATGTTTTGGAATGCTTTGAAAGCTTAATTAAAGATATTACTTCTTGAATTCTAATTCAATGAATATGCTTTAATAAATCAAGAAAAAAAGATTAGACGATTTAATTCTCATTTTCTTGATTTATCACAATTATATAATCGGAATATAAAAATCGGGGAGAAAAAATATAATAATAATAAATTAATATGCATACAGATATTTATTCAATCAGAATGAAAGTTTATTGGTGGCCTATCAGTGTCGATAAAAACGCGATTGTCGTCAGATGTTTCTCTGCGACTTAACTTCGAACTTTGGATCCATCGAGATTATACCAGTCTGGACTCCGTGTCGTGAGCTATTGGCTCTGCTTTCGTAGTTGAGGCGAGGAGGGTAATCGTTCGTGATCGATCGAGATCGTTCCTCTATCTTGTGTGTGGTTGCGGCCGCGACGGCGACGTGGTGTGGTAGCGTATTGGCGAGAGTAGACGGACGGCTATTTCCGCATGACATCACACCGCCCGCATTTAGGGGGCACCACAATTTTCTATTTTCTCGACGGCTCTCTCGACATTGGTGGCCCGCAAGGTCGGCCCCATCGAGACACGTTTCGATCAGTTTTTATTGCCCCCTTCTTCTTCTTCTTCTTCCTGCCCTTACAACTTGCTCTCAGCGATGCATCGCTCCTCGTTCGGAACGATGTTTCTCTTTTTTCTTTATCTTTTTCGAAAGTCTATAATTGTTTATTGCAGTTAGGAAATTCCTGATTTAGTGTTGTATGAGATTACGACTTCTTAGTATCACAATAATGTTGAAGATTAAGTCAGACTTGTTTAAGTTATGACCGTAATTTATTTTCATTATCTTATTTATGCCAGCTTGTCATCGTCTCATGTCTTTTTTAAGTAAGTCTTTTTTATCTAATTTAATTTATTTCCTATTATGTGTGCATGTGAAATTTATTTATTAAAAATTTACTTATATACGATTTACCGCCGTTAAAATTTTATCAAGTACTTATATAAAGTATATATTGTGCTGTCTAAAAGGGAGATCGTATTCCTAGAACACGTAATAAATTAAGATTTTTTTCCCTCCTCTCTGGAGTTTCTTCTTTTATCTTACGTATTAAATTAAATAAAAAAAAAATATTATTAATTTCGAAATTGTCCACCATGCTTTTGCAATCAAACAGTTATCGTAAATGAGTGAAGCAACGGAGAACGTATGTAAAACTCGACTGATGCGTGCACGCTCGTTCCATTAACACACCGGCGATATAATCTCGCGCATCATTCCCGGCTCTCCTTCCTAATCGAGAAATAATTGTACGAATTTGTCGGAGCGACCGCTGAGTTGCCGTCATCTCGTCGAAGAAATTCGTGCGCGCCCGTACCGTCATCGTGTTGTTCCTTTAAGTTTTTTCTACGCATCGGTCCGGAACAATGGAATCGACGTCGAGACAAAGGAGCTGCTCTACACTCTCTCGTCCGGTTTCCTCCGGTTTATGCACGATACCGTTCGACCGGCGCTAACTCGGTTAGCCATTTGTTAGCGATATTAGAAAAGATCGCGAAAAATGGCACATTTTAAAACCTTGCCGGCCGCTTGATTCGCCAACGAAGCGCTCGAGGCACACAATTAGAGCTTCAGAAAACTCGTGAATGGATATATAAATAAAAGTTACGTGCGCTGTGAACTCTTTCGCGTCGAAAACAGATGTAGGCAGATATAAATCGCATCTCCGTTTTACAGGATAATTTCATGAATTGACGATTCGTCTAAAAGTTAGCGATTGATCACGTAGAAGAAAGTACGCGCATATAATTACAGATTTATCTAGGTAAACGTTAAGGTTGAGTGTTCTAGAGTATCTTGTATGCTCCAGAATGTTAATTTATTCGCGCGCGCTATTTTTTTGTTATTAATTTTTATCGTTTACACCTGAAAATGCATTCAGATTCAATAGAACTGACTGCTCAACCCATCGTCCATATCCGGGTCACCAACCATCCGAAACGATCTATCGATCGGCATATTACTCTCTCTTGATAGAGGAGATCCAACGCGGACCGCGGAAGAGGATTTCTGCGCGAACGATTTCGTAACGACCGATTACGCCCCGTTCGGCATCCGTCGGTTTCCTTACGTGTTAATCCCATTCATCGTCCGTTACGAAATCAGAGGCAAGCCGGGCTGCGTTTAGATAGAGTAGAGTTGTGCTAAAAATAAGTAGGTATCGTCAGGAAATTGCTGAACTTTGCGAAATTCGCAGATGTAGATATAAATTTCGCGCAAAATATGAAATACATAATTACCAGCTAATATAATCATGAATATGTAATTGAAATTATATGATTAACTTTTATTTTTTAATTTTTAATTTTATTGTCAGAAAATTATTTTCCAAAGAGAGAGAGATTATATTTTCTATTTTTGGTATATATATTTTTATATTTTTTATTATTTATTATTATATACATTTCTTTTTATTATAATATCTTTAAAAAAGTATGCACACACGCACACGCACACAAAAATTTTTTTTTAAGATTTGAAACTTTTTCTTATAGAATGTCCGTATTATTATGTATGCGCTGTTTGTAAGGCAAACTCGTCGATTACACAAATCTCTCCGTGTTTCCATGGAATAATCGCAATCACCAAGGTTTTCTTTTCGCTCTTGTTCTCTGGTTATTCATGCGTTCCTAATAGCACGTAGCGTTGCGTAGCGGTTGAGATTTTCTTCATGGCAGATAGGCGATTTTTGCGTGTTTCGATCCAAGAGATCGAGCCGAGTCCGAGAGAGAACAACAAGGAGCCGATCGCGGAGCCTTGAGAACGGGAAAAGGGGGGAGGGCCACGAAGAGGAGCGATCGGTTGGTCGGTCGATCGATTGATTTTTTCACGGCGTCTGGTTGCACCGCTACTGCCCGTTGCAGGTGGAAGAGACTCTTTACTCTGACCCGAGGCTTCTCAGAAATTCTCTCCAGTCATCGAGACGAATTCCATCGGAATTCAGGGCGGACGATTAATGGCTTTATACGTTCCTTAAAATCTCCGCCGCGTCACAGATTAATTTGTTTTTTCTCTTCGCTTCAGCGGCTGGAAATCGGACCGTGTTATCGTGTTTCATCATTTGACGAAAAGTTTGCGCGCGTACCTCTTTCATCATAAATTCCGTTTGTACGACAAAATACAGTACAAAAGTGACTACGCTTTCGTAACTCCCGGGTTATAAAACCGAAGATGAAAACAACGCGTGAGACGAAAAGATGAAAAAGGGACATCGGCCGGTCGGGAAAGAACGCGTAGTAGAAAATAAAACGGAACGAATACACGTTACACGTGAAACGAGGGAGGTCATAAAATTCCGAAGCGCAGGTATAAACCAACAATCTACAAGTCAAGTCGCGAGAGCGATCCTAATCTCGCGCGTCGCACTGCTGGGAGGGGGGAAGAAGAGATTTCTACGAAAACCAAAAAGATACCGTCGAAAAGGGTGAATAGCGCGGCCGCTAAATTGCCGAGGTTCATTAGAAAATCACTGGTATGCGATGCGCCGTGCATTCGGGGGGGACTATTAAAGCCCAGAGGTATTTCGAGTACACCTTTAAAGCTCAGATTTTTCAACCTCTTCTTCATGTACTTGTTCCTTTCTTCCTCAGTTCTCATTCGCCCTGAAAACTTGTATTTCGAAATTACGCGATGCTATCGTCGCGATGATCAAGAATTCTCCTAAACTCACACCGGGAGACATTCATCCGTTCTCCTTGCTGGACGATTCGATTTGAAGGTTGCCCGTTTTCTACTGCCATTTTTGGATACCTATCATAAACGTTGCTGCTGCTGCTGCTGCTGCCTCCACAGGTACTTTATTGTTTGATTCATGTTTTACCCGACATTTTTATTTTCGCCGCCGTTTTACAGGAGATATATTCGTCGCAGATAAATGACAATAAAAAGAAGCGGAAAACGTTGATCCGTCATACGTGTCTTATGAGGATTCGGCTCGTTTGTTTGCCCATAAAACGCGGTGGAAGGTCGCGAGATAGAACCGAACGACGCATAAATTTTACATAGTGGTGCAGTATAACACACAACGCACGCATGCACGCATACGTACCCAGACGCAGACACACACGCACATTCACGCGAGAATTTCGCGAATCTTACGCAGTATAACACACACGCACGCATGCACGCATACGTACCCAGACGCAGACACACACGCACATTCACGCGAGAATTTCGCGAATCTTACGATAGTTCTATCACGTGGTTCGAGTTAACCTCGGTAATTGAATAAATGTGGAAGACGATTACGCGACGCTCGAGACGCGCTTTAACGAGCCGCCGTCTAAATCATCGCGCTCGATTTACTACAAATTTAATCTAGAGTTAATCGGTATTTAATTTAAATATACTCATTCCGCGTAACTAACATATTTACGTTTCCCATCAGTCACGCCGACGCTCGATCTATCTTCGCATTAATTCGCAATATTCGACACCTCTTCCGTCTGCGGTTTAATAAAATTCGGCGATGTACGAAAATTTTAATAGCGTGCGCCTCAAGAGACACGGCTACGATTTTGAAAACATTCCAACGTTTAACAGTTTATCACAGTTTATTGCATTTTTAACGCAAAACAAAGATCGTTGATCTTCTCGTCATACAATGTCCATGAAATGGAAACACGCGCATATACGGAAACAAAAACATAGTCAAAGTTTTGATTAAAGAAATGGATAAATGAACCAGCTGGGAAACACTACGTCATTGTATTAAAAAGTAATATCATTATCGCGGTTTTATTTTTTCTTGAATCTGGCTTTTTTTGCCGCTACCACGGCGTTGGGCAACTTTGGATTAGACTGATTTTTATGTTTCTTGCTTTCTACATGCTGAGCAAACGTGGTCTCCGAATTCAACGATAGATTGCACGGTGCACAGTAATATTGGCCTGCAAAACAAAAACCCATTGTTGCATTAATATTCCGGTAATCATGCAACTATATTTTCTTTCCTCGAATTTTTTCTATACATCGTATATATATATATATATTTCCTTACCCGATGGTGTCCGATAAATAGAATAGTCTATAGGTTCCGAAACGTTGGAGACGTTTTCATTTTCAACTGAAATGGAATAGAAAGCGTCAATAAGTTTTATCGCACAAGATGTATTTATCTCATTCACGGATATTACCGGCTTCAGGCACAGTAAGTCCATTGAGTTTTAACATCCTTAAATGTCGAGCTCCGCGTTTGTGCGTCTCCAGTTGATCCTGACGGTTGGCCGAAACTCCGCACAAGTCGCAACGCAACGGTATGAGGAACGATGATGCTGTGTAAATGGATGGAGCCGCGGCCGGATTTGGAGCCGCGGCGGTTACGTCGGGCGCTACTGGTGCCGCGGTCGGCGCGGGTTGCGCGTCCGCCTGGAAAGCCATTCCAATTCCGAAGCGACCCGTCGAATCCACCTGATTGTACTGATTTTGATTCTGCGACTTCTTTGATGGCCTGTGAAACGCAACATCTTATTATCGTTATTATGACAAATCGCACTAAATTCTCAATCTACATTATTAATGCGCACGCTATACTCTGTGTCTGTGAATATTATTAAATTAAATTTTTTATTAGATATATATTATACAATAGGATTATATTAACGCAATTATTATTATAGAAACATGATGTATATGCAGGTACATACCTTGCGCGAGGCCCACCGTTCGCCGCTCTAATATGCTTTTTGCCCGCGTAGTGTTGCGTGGCGTCTGTTTGCGATGTGAACCACGTTTTGCATATCTAGCAATGCAGATCGTATGCGAGGTACATATTAATTTATGTATGTAAAAATACATAATTGTAGGCAAAACACATTTTGGAGGCCTCTTACATCACAGTAGTTTTGCCAGTCGTTATTGGTCGTACTGCTCACTTGGCCATCTTCCGTTTTCTGTTTTTTAACGCTCTGATTGAGAAACATGGATACTTTTTTCTGATGTGGCTTGCCGTCATAGTGCAATTTCGCTTGCAACGTGGAGTTCATCTGCAAAGTACGATTCGCTTCGTCGATATACGATGCTAATAATTTTTCGACGTAAGAGATCTATACATCGCAGACTTATTCTTGGAATTTAAACTAGATTTAAACCGAGAGAGAGAGAAGATTCTTTAATTATCCGATTATGATTAACCGAGCCTTACGACTGCATTGCACAGATCACATTTGAGCGGTTTCATCAGCGCCGACAGTTCCCTCTGCGCACTCGCCACTTTCTCTGAGAAATCAATGCAAAAGAATTAATGTTCTCTTAAATATTTATACAGTACAAAATATATAAAATAACAATTCTGTTTTCATTTTTTTTCATTTTTTTAAGATTCATATATCATATACAGACAGATTTTAAAATCAAATATATTTTCAAAATGCCACTCTCTTAATTACCTGCATCCTGTGCGGGATCGATAAACTCATTCTTGCGTTTGTAAAAATTCTTGCTCTTGTTTTTTCCAATGGCTGGTGTCGCCGCGGGAGAGACTGCCGTCGCGGTTGCTGCACCCTTATAGGTCGGATCGTACCACTGAGCGTAAAGGTCCGAGGTATCGCTGTCGGTGGGTATCCACCATGGGGTCGGGGTTGACGGCTGTCCGGGAGTTTGCGGTTGCATCGTCGGATGCAGCATGTACGGACTCGGTGGCACGGGGAGGACGTTCGGAAACGTACCGAGGGTCGGAGGAACCCCGTCGCTGGCGGTCGCTACCGGTGACGTTGCGACGGTCATCACGTTCTCGCTCGTCGTTCGTTGCTGTTGCGTCGTTGTCGATTGTCCATTGTTGTTGTCCGAGGGTTTATTCGAACAAGAAGAAGGCGGCGGTGGTGGCGGGGGAGGCGGTGGCGGCGGCGGTGGCGGTGGTGGCGGTGGCAGAAAGCATTCGAATCCTATTGCGAGAAAATTGAGGTAAACGAAAGCTTTCTCGAGAGTCATCTGTGCTAGAGTCTCGAGGCAAGAAAAATGGGCTCCTCATCCCGGAACAGTACCATATTTTTCTCGCTTAAAAAAAGAAAAAAGCCAGCTGTTTTGAAAATCGTATCCCGCTGTTTTATTGCGGCAATCTTTCAAAGTTTTGTTACAGAAAAAGTTTTCAAGTTTGCGACATGGTAAAATAATTATGTAGCGGTATATGGTCCACAGTTTTGTATTATTTCCTCTTATTTAAATTTATTTCGCGCCATTATTTAGTCTCTAACGGTAAAATAAAAAGCAAAAAAGCGAATAAAGAGAGTTTTTTAACTTTGATTAAGCGCATCGGACAGTGAGTTTATTAGTGCATCCGGATTACAACAAAGCATTTACAGCGAACCGATAATGATCTGCCAAAATTTCGCGAGATTTACAATCGCGTTAAGTACAGCGGGCGAGCAAATCGCTTCCGGTTTTACGGAAAAATATAAAAAAGCGATTGAGGAAGACGCTATGGCTTCGCGCGGCGATTAAGATAAGATGCTTATCGCGCGCTTATAATTTACGAAGGAATTGTATTTAATTGCCCGCAATATACTCACTCAGCGCTAATTCGCGCGATTGGCTGAGTACAAAAATAACGCGATATTACGTTTTTTAAAGAGTTTTCACACCCGATAATACATCTCGAGCGTCCAGACAGTGGTATATATTTAGCTTATCACGTGTCTACGCCACAGTCATGGCTTAATTTATTTCAACGCCCGTTAACTGCTTTATGATTTGAATATTACTGGCAAACACAAATATACGAAACAGTTATATATTTTACAGCGTAGCCTCTCATTTTTTAATTTTGGAATATGCTAATCTAAGCAAATTAATTTTTATTATCATTTATATTTAGAATTATGATATATTTTACAATTATAAGGCATATATATTTTTGTGCTAAATGTTGTTGAAACATTATTACATTGTAATTAAAAAAAAAAAAATATATATCGTAAATATTATTGAAATATTATGACACATACATATATATATTAGCTTGAAGATATATTAATTTATTTTGGATATATTGAAATTTGGATATTTCTATTTTTTAACATGCCCTCGATTAATTGATATAAACTCCTTTTATGAAATCAACGGAATCGATATAAAGCGGTAGAAAATATCGTGACTATGTTTAATAAAACTTTGACCGAAACCGGAAATCACACTACAGGTCAGATCTATATATACATATAACGTTATGCGTTCGCATATCGCGTGATCTATACACGCACTCCTCGGAATACGATACTCGCGCAATTTACTCGTCAATGCATACACGCTAATCATCTTGTCCGGCGTGTCATGATGGCAGTTTCATAGCGCGAGTACACTCCAAGTAATCCCGGATTAAATCCGCATCATTTGCTCAATCTCTCGACTTGCATATCTGGTGGACCGACAAAATATACCACGATTCTAACGTGCCTTGTCACGGCTGCTGGGAGTATTACTTTTTTATTTTTTTATTTTTTTTTATTTTATTTTTTATGACACTAAATTCTGTACTCTGTTGTCGCACACAGGCGCACGCTATTGCGAAGCGACGGAACAAATCGAGGGAGAGAAGGGATCGTTCCGGAGCCGACGGACGAGGACGACTCACCCGGCACTTCTGGATTCTCTATGATCTTGACGCTGGACATTTCCTCCGCGTTAGGAGGAGATTTTATCCGAGCGACAATTATCTCCGTCCGGCGAAGCTTGACAGGCTTGCGTCGCGGTTCGCGATGACACTATGACTCCGTGCTCGAGTGTCGGCGCGGCGCGAATTCCTCGTCTTGCACCTGACACAGTTTCGCGTCACCGTTTTATAACGGCACGTAACGTCGCACCGCGACTCGTACTTCGGCATCGACTGTCACTTGTCGGAGCAAAAAGTTTGTGAGGTTAATTCCAGCCGCCTTTGACACAAGCCGACGACATTACGCGGCGCGTGATATTGACCTGCGGCGTAAGATGGCCGCGCACACTACGATCGTCGACGTTCTTGGACACCGCACGGAATTATCACGTGCAATAGGAAAGATTCGATTTCGATCGTCGATGGAGAATCCGCGACGACGATGGAAGACAAGGACGAGCTGGTTCAGTGCCTCGAGGAGAAAATCACCAGCGGCCGCAGTATGATCGAGCGACTGAAGCTCATGGACAAGATCGATGGGATTGAGAAATTGATACGAAAGATCCAACAAGAGATAAAGTTTCTAGAAAAAGTAAGATACTTGTCACAAGATTTTTGTCGATTCTGTTAAAAATTGAGTAGCGTTAAACAGCTGACTAAATTGTCTGTTTACATTGTAATCAATTAAATTTGTTCCTCTCATTTTTTAGTTTATGTTTTGTAAAGTCTGTATACATTTAGTTTATCTTAAAGATAGCGGAAAAATGCAGCTAAGATAATAATAAAATCTATTGTGATCTGTAGATAAAAAAGAAAAAAAAAAGCTACGTTGATAATTAATCAATTGTGATAGAATAGATCAGCACAAATTTCACTAGCAGATTAATAATTTTGTCTTTTTCTTTGCAAAGGTGCATTGTGCAGGGAACTTGAAGAAGAAACATTTACAAAGTACGAATCTGATTCACCTTAATGCTATAGTGGCTAGATTATCTTGCGCAAAGGATCTCGTCAGTGTGATGAGACCTTTTAAGCATCAGAAGTCACGTTTGGAAGTTGATATAGTGTGTAACAATGGCGCTTCATGGGTGAAGGTTATAGCGAGAAATGCTAGAGCCTTAACTTTGATATCCCTTGGTAAAGGAGAATATGGACAGAAATCTATTCTGGATCAAGCTAATTTGTATCTTATGTGTAGCAAATGCCATCTATATCACTATAAGCCACCAGATGTGATATTTCACTTTGCTTATGGCATAGAGATTCCTCTAGCCTTGCGTTTGGAGCAAATGGGCATTATAGTTGAAGGAGATAGAATAGATATGGATAATGAGATTTTAAACAGTCAGTATAATTTGATAAATATATATAAAGAAAATCAAGCATTATACAACATATACAGTATATGAAAAAATAATTTGACTAATAAATATTTATTTTTTTGAGGTAGAACACGAACTGGAATTGCTGAAAGATTCTACGAATGATTCTAAACAGGACTTGGATTTGCACTTGTTAAATACATCTGCACTCTCGACTGAGATTAAACTCTTGAATGTGGATGTATCAACGCTATTGGCTTATGTTACGAATATGTCTAATGGATATAATAATTACATTTATCGTGAACCACTGCTTACGCAACAAACAGAAATGGAAAGAAAACGTCCCATAAAACCAATTCTGGAAAATTTGTTTCGTGAGAAAGAACTTATAGTTTGCCAGACAGCGTGTAATAATTTTATGAATATCATTGATGTCATCGGTGGTCCAAAAGAGACGTTGCGGGCTCACGAATTATTAAAAAAAGTTCGAATTGTTGATGATATAACCACTGGTCGAGTTATGGAACTGCGTTTAGGCGGAAAAATTAAGGATCGATCGCGATTGGTTTTCGCAACAGGTGAAAATATGAAAAGTATCACTGTTTCTGCTAATGAAGGATTTGTAAGAGCGGCACGTATGCAGGTAAACATATACATCATACATGATTAATTTCTTTGTACATTTCTAAAAGTTAATACTATATAGATACCATTGTACATTTTTCCAGGGCATTGAGTGTACAGTTTTTTTACATGAACCAAGATCTCTATCAGAAATGAAAGAAAGTAATGCAATGAAAATAGAACCATCTTGATATTACTTATTATTTAGGCAATTACAAAGAAAGTATATGCCGACACCAAATATACTTTTATTGCTAATTTATTATAATATTTTATATTGAAACAATATTCTACATTATCCCTTTAAAAAGGTTACTATATTTCATCATTAATTACCTGAATATTGAATTTGTTAAATTTCATCTCTAAATTTTCTTCAAATTCTGTAAAATATGAAGTAGTTGTTATATGAAATGATATAAAATTAAGTTGTTTAAAAATATTCAATACCACTAATAAACCCATAATACCATTAATAAATTTGTTGAAATAAGGATTTCTTTCTTTGGCTATCTGTATGTATTCTTTACTCTTCTCCCTGTTTCCAAGATTCAAATAACATTTAGCGCTATTCAAAAGAGCTTTCAAATTTGAATCATTCAGTTTTAACACCCATTCGCAATCGTGTAAGGCCTTTTCGAATAATCCGAGATGCATATACGATAACGCACGGTTATTCCATAATACAGACGAATCTTTACGTTGTTCTAATGCTTTACTAAAATAAGTCACGGCCTTCTCGTAATCTCCTTCTTTGAATGCACCATTTGCAATTCTCTTTAACGTTTCTGCTCGTTCATTTCTTATCTTACGATCTTCAGTTCGTTTTCTAGCATCATCTTCTATGTTCTTCATAAACATTTCTATATAAATTTTATCAATTTATAATTCATTGCATTTGTTTAATGGCAGTATTGTAATGTTCGAAAAATAACTTACCTCGCGATATCTTGTTTGGATCATTGAAAGAACTATCCTCCTTTGAAGAATATTTATTAATTATTGATCGATTAGTTTTAATTTTTATCTCTTCATCTTCATAAATTTCCTTTTGAACATTTTTTTCTAAAATTTCATCAGCTAACTTTTTTCCACATTCTTGTTCCTTTGGATCAGAAGATGCTAACTTCTTGACTATTTTTTCTTGAATAAGGAATATTATTGAAAAATATAAATTTGTAGTACGCAGTCACATGAATACCTACCTACTTCGGTAACACGGTGCATGAAATTTTGAAACTCTTCCTCGGTTACATTTTTATCAGGGTTTAAGTCATTAATAATATGACTTGCCTTTTCTATTTTATCACAATTTATTTCATTCTTCATATTCACATCCATTTCTTTTTATATAAAAATTGTAGAAACAATTAGGAAATCCGGCATATGCACTATAGAGAAAGAAATATCAAGTAATTTGTTTCCATAGAAACATAATAATGTTGCTATGGTTTGTTGCGCTATGTCTACTATATTACTATATACTTATACATAATCAATATTAACTAATACATGTATTAATTAAATCAAATTACAGCATAAAAATATTTACAGAATATTATTCAAACAGGATTTAGATTGTAAAACAAGTTTTGCTTTGTATAGCTTTATTTTGAAAACAGTATGATCATGCAATGAAACATTCAAGAAAATGACAATAGTTACTGAGACTTTCAACATTGTTATAGGTATAAAAATCAAAGTATATTACATCGCAAAATTTGAGATTTGTGCATAATTTTTTTCCAATTTACGAAATTTTGTATTAACTGTTTGAATCTTTTCTAGTAGAGAATTCTGTACGAGAACAAGCATTTTTGTTTAATGAATGGAATAATATCTCTGGAAAGAACTGTTGCGTAGACGTTTTACTGTTTTCTGAATTTTCGTTGTCATTGTCGTCAACCTCAAGAGGATCCATGTCGACGTCTTCTTCCAAGTCTGAAGATATGTCGATTTCGTCCTTTATATAAATTGTGTTCATACTGTGATCTTCACTGGAATTCTTCTTAGCTTTCCTTCTGTCTAACGGCTCATTTTGTTTAGTGTCTAGTACAGTTATAGATCTTCCCGATGGTGTAATCTCTATTTCGTCCATGATGCAACGTAATTTCTTGAACGGTAGAGGTTTATCATTTGATATCGTGGATAATACACGTGGCCAACTGATCACAGGATCCGAGGATTCTTTTCTCTTTTGTAATATATTTGATATATTCGGCAATCCCTTGCTTGTACTCGGCATATCGTTAATGTCTACAATACTGATACCGGAATTGCTATTCTCCAGTCGTTGACATAGCTCGTTTATACTGATCTCCTCCTTTTTCTTCGTCGTATCATGAGGAACTTTAATCGGTGTCTTCTGAGGATTTATCTTCGGAATAAGCTTTGGCTGCACGGCTACTTTGCTCTGCGTTTTTGTGTTTATTTCGTGTTCAGAATTGGTACTTTTGCTGGACGAGCTTCTAGCTTCTTCTATCTTTAATCGTGATACTGTGGCGGTTTTTTTCGACACATCGCAGTGTTCCTTCGCGGTGTTGTTGGCTCCTTCTCCGGACAGTACTGACAATGGGATATGCCGCAATCCGGTAACTTCCAGAGTCTCGGCGAGCTTGAGCAACCTTCTAACCTCGCTCTGAACTACCTGTATCTCGCCGCAGTACATGAAGTTCACGAGAGTTTTGAGATCGTCGGCCTCGACGTCATGCAGGACGATCATCGGGTGAGGATGATCGTTGGCCATGATTAATCGGCGGAAAAACGAGCTTGCATTGGCCAGTACCATCTTGTGACATTTCAGGATTGTATTGTCCTTACACACCAGTGAGAGATCGACGAACTGCTGTTTTTCGTAACAGGTATCTAGCGAGACTACCATGTGTGATGGAAAGCTCTGCCATTTGAAACTCAACACGGAATCTTCCTTCATAGTGGCGCTTTCAAGTCAGTCTACGTTGATTTTACGACCAAGCGACGCGAGACGCTCAATTTGCGGCGTTTCTGACAACAGCGTTCGCCATGACACACACGTGCCGCTGTTGTCGTTCTACTTAAGCACAAGCTGTCTCCTGTCTACCCGCGAGCGGGATGCGCATGCGCGCGTCCGGTGTGTATATATATATAAAAATCTTATATATATATATATATATAAGATTTTTTTGGTAGATTGCACAGTTTAGAGAATATATGTCTCACGCGATTTATAAATAAACATTTTTCAAATATATATATATATATATTTGAAAAATGTCTATTTATAAATTGCGTTAGACAGTTAGATTTATTCTCTAAACTCTGCAATCTATCAAAAAGATCTTTCTTTGTTGCGCCTAATGTTTCTTTTAGTTTAAATAGTTGCTTTAGTTTTCACTGTTCTTCAGGTGAGATTATAAATCGTATCGGGCATATACCGTGTGTTTTCAAAAATCATTTAGCATTGCGTCTCTTGGATATTTGAAAGTGAGTGTATAATGTGCCGGATTAGAAAGTTGAATCAGATTAGAAACGAAATTTGGAAATATTAATCTACTCATAATTTCATACGCCATGTTTGGATTTAAAAATTCCCGCGCTTCGTCTCCCGCAATATGGCGCGTTTCGATATCTCGAAGCGCTGTAGTCGCGAAGCTCACGAAACCAACAGTCGACCGGCAACGGCGGCGACGACGGCGACTCCTCGGACCAATTGGCATCGATAATTGCAAATGGTCGTTTAATAACAGATGATTGAACGCGTTCCGCGGCGCGCGGCATAGCATTTATCTGTGAAAAGCGGTGGCGGCCGGCTGACGAACGGTGATGCGCCGCCGGCTGACGCGCGTCTATTGAGCGTTTAACCGGCGAGGTGTTTAAGACTTGAGAACGCGATTCCGTTTTCTCGACGACAACGACGACAACGACGACGCGGCGGCAAGTACGCGAGAGCGACAGAGAGAGCGTGACGCGCGAGTGAGCGTAACGGGCGACCTTTGAATAACCGCGTTTATTATTATGTGATCGGCGAGTCGAGAGACAACAACGCAAGGAAAACAGGAAGAAAGTCGAGAGAAAATGCAGACCGCGCAGGCCAACATTTTCTGCTATATCATCGTGGCGATTCTCGCTGTCCTGTCGACGCTCGGCCGTGCAGGTGAGTACATATATACATATATATATATATATATACACGCACGTCGCATTTATTTTCGTTAAATATTTTCGCGAAAAAATATGAGAGACTCTGTGTCAAGCCTCTGTTGTCTGGCTGGTAAATTAAAGCGCGAGCGGTCACGAAATTGCTTCGTCCGAGCTAATCCACGACAGTCACCCCAACTTAGTCGCAATAATCCTCTTCCGCTCTTTCTTTCTCTTTCTCTCTACTTCTCTCTCCTCTCTCTGTCTCCCTGTCCGTTTCATCTCTCCATTTCTGCCGTTTATCTCTGTCTTTCTCGAAATCTCCGATCCGAGAAACGAGTGAGCACCCTCCACGCTGCTACGCGGAATCGAGATCGACCTGCAACACGTGACGCATTTCTGTTTCCGGTAATTTCACATATAGCGTCGAGAATGTATTTTTTTGCTACGCGGAAAATTTCCACGGAAATACGCTTTGGACAATTCCTGCCGAAATTATTTCGAATATATTTTACGTATATATTTGTAATTTTTGCAAAATGCATTTTTATATGTATATCTTTCGAGGAATTACAGGAAGTACATACAGCGATAATTTAGCGATATCGTGTTTTACAATAATTACGTGTGATATGATAAAAGCATAAATAATTGGCCAAGGTTGTTGTTGACGAAGCCAAACTAAAAATACAAGTTACTCCGAAGAAGTTAGATAGATATCGATGGAAATTTTGCTCGCGCAGTCGCTATTGACGTAATCGTATCAACATACGATTTGAAAATAAAATGTTGAAATATATATATGAATAGAGAAATATATATATATATATATATATATATCATTATATCGTTTTTGTAATCAAATTCCAATTAAACATGCATTTCATATATTTTTTTAGAATAATCATTTTTATGCTTACTTAGAACTGACTTATTCATCTCAATTAAAAGTCTTTTTGCGTTTTTATATTTCATTCAACGTATTACGAAAGCTAATTTAAAACGCTTCGTTGCAAAAGTCCCGTATTTTCCCGGATTATTACGATGTCGAAACGTGCACGAATACAAATATATTTGCAATAATATATTTTCTCTTTAAGGAGATGGATTGTGTTTTTTTATCTCGTTTTGCGTTGTCAATCCGAACGATTCATATCGATTCGATATACCTTTTTTTTTGTATGACATAATCATTAGTAGCTTCGGGGTAGAAATCGACATCGTGATGCATAAGTTCATTATGAAATATCGAACGCTTTTTTCTCCTAATTATGCTTACGAGTTGGATATTTTTATCATACATATGCATTGAGAGAAAAAGAAACATTGCATATTTTTTATTGATATTTCATTTATTATTTTTTTCCATTATGTCATTTTTGTGATACTTTCTATGAGATAAGTTAATCGCTTTGTGCTTTTTGTTCAACTCTAATTCTGACGTTTTATAATAAAGAAAATTAATTTCTTATATAGATATAAGATAACATTTTGAAGATTATGATTTTTTTATATATGAAGATTTTTTTCGAAAACAATGACGATTTATCAGTCATATTAATCATTTGGATCTGTTGCAATCGATTTTACGATGTCGATCCGGCCCTGTTTTATTCGCTTTTATTAATCACATATTTGTATTGGTTCGACCATTATCGAAAGTGATGCTTTTGTACGCGTTTCACGTTACAGGCGAAACTTTTTGTATTAATTTAAATAACCGGAAGATTATATAAGCATGCACGCAAAGAATTCGTCGGAAAGAGAACTGGCATTCGTATGTGCAAACATGATTCGTATATTTCGCAGCATATTTTAAGGCGCCTTCAGTAGGCGAAGAAATACGCGACTTCCCCCGCCCACCTCTGATACGTTTGTTTTATTTAAATTGCGCATATATTACACGTGGCTATCTACTTATGCATTTGTACACAATAATAAAAAGATATATACAGACTATTAATAACGCGAAACATATATATATATAATCATAGAATAAAAAAAAATAAATTTACTTGGCAGTATCGGTCTTGATACAGAGCGTATCTCGCATTTTCTCTTGTATCTCCTTCAATCAATTTCCTTAAAATTAAAAGTAAAATATGTAAAATATGTCTTGATATATTTCACAAAAGTCAGAATTTTTGTCTTACGCGAATATACATATATTTGTGTGTGCCTTATATGTAATAAACGAGGTAAGTATACAGCGGGATATTGTATTACGCGTGCACATGAAATCCTTTGGCGAATTTGCGTTTACGTGACGAAATTCGGTCTGACGAAATTGGATAGTTGACGCGGAATTGAGCGAAAACACGCGAGGGATATTTCTTTTCGAATAAGAGTTGCGAGAGTCTCTTATGTTTATCGTCATAATGTTAGTTTTTACTTTAAAAATCTGCGCGCCGAGACTTTATTTTATACTTTTTTGTTATTGTTTACTGTATCAGCGATGATGGATTATTTCCTGATCATTTATTTAGAAATGTCATGATAACAATAACAGCAAACTGATATGATTTTATATCTCCCATTTAATTCGAAATATACGTTGAATATTACATTCATTTGGTATTGTCGTTATCAATCCATTGTTTAATACTTCAAAATGCGATAGCTATTGTTTAAATTGTATAAAAGATATCAGCATTAAACGTCAATCACAATTACTTTAATGTTAAATTAATATTTTTCCTACATATTAGTATTTGCAACTTTTTTATTTGCTTTGTAAATTCCGATTCTAATACGCGTTAAGATTTTACAATAAAACGTCGCTATTTTGTACGCAATTAATGATGAATCTGAGTCGCTTTGATTTCAAGCGATTGTTTGCTCGTGATGATTACATTCGTTCGTTTTTTTATTCTGGTATCCTATTGAATCAATTTTATTGAGAAAAGAGTAGAGTTACATAAAGTTCTCACATAAGTATATACATATAAGTTTTAACTCGCGGTAAGAATAGTGTTTTTTTTTTCGAACGAAAGCATCGGATTCTGGTGCCGTTTAACGAAGGTTCGCCAGCTGTGATACTTCCTGAGATGAACAGACTCTTTGTGTTCACCCAAACGGTCCGATTTTACGACGTTATCGCGGAAAAACGTTCGTCTCTCCCTCGCATTGTGTGATGACGCGATTCTACGAGAATGCAATAAACGAATCGAAACCAAATATGATACTTCGAACCTCCGGAATTGTCGAAATTTGACACTGGTAAATCTGTCGATTTGAATTATATCTAATGCGTTTTGCGATTGGTCGATGTAAAATCTGACAGAATTATAAAATCATATTTACAATGTTGACATTAAACATTTTTTTTTCAAATAGTATTTCCTTTACACCGAATACATTTACGGATTACAGTAACAAGATGTTCATTTCCGCGTATTTCCGCGTCGATATTTCAATGAGACAAATCATGTCGAATGATGTTATAGAATTAATGCCACACCAGTCACTTAAATCAAAAACAGGTCCCTTAATACGCTTAATTCTCAACCTCAGTTAACCCCCGTGTATACTGCTGATAAAACGAATTCGTCTCTATTAACTGATTCAGCCAATCATGCGTCACGCGGGCTCGATAGAGTTACGAAAATGTCATTCATCCTCGTGCTCCTTTGTGTCTTCTGTTCTGGATGAGATAACGAAACAGTTGGTCGGCGATAACGAAATGGGATAAGAAATGTGGCGCGTTCGATTAACAATAAGTCTCGCATGATGCGCAATCATCGATATATGTATTCGATATATATATGTTGTCTTGCTTAGTAATTGCATCGCTTATCTTTTCGCGAATATATTCAGACAGTCTAGCTAAGCTTTCGAATAACATACATTTCACAAAATTTGTGTACTAAATACAGGATTTTTTAATAATATTTTATTGAAACAATGAATGTATGTGTTTAACATGTTCTTAGAATGATTAATTTTTTACAAAAATGTCTTAAGACTTAAGGCACGATTTGCAGTAACCAGAGTATGATTCAAATCTTCTCACTTTTCTTTTCTTGTTTCTTTGTGTTTATAAAATCGTGTCTTTAATGTAAATAATAATATAGAATCAAAGATCAAGTTAGAGTTTATAAAAAAATCGCAACTACAATTTTAAAATTGCTTTGTGTTTACAGTTATCTGAATATGATTTATGTCGATCTGATGATTATGAACTAATTACTAATTTATTAATTATTCTAGTGTTGAATAAACAAAGCGGATTTCTTTTTCTTTAGAAGATAATTTCAGTATATTTTAAATTGAATAAATTAACGTATTAAAATTTTTGAATTGAATTATATATAACTCGAATATAAAGACTCGTGTTATTGATGATCATTTTATCATTTATCTTTGTTGACTTTGCAATAAAATGCTTATTTCCGGAGTTGTTTTAAAACGTGTCGCTGATATCTAATATTTTCGTACTTATCATTTAAATATAAACATTATGTCTAATTAAGAGTTATATTTATACATTTATTATAAATAGAATTTTAAGATTCTGTAGTTTTTTTTTATAAAGTGTTATCAAATTATCATGTTGATATATCACGAAAAAGTATTTTGATTTTACTAATCCGTTTGAGATATGTATAGAGTTGCACGCGTAAAGCGAAGATCTGAATCGCGACTTAGTTCGCATGCAAGTTGAAAAGAATGTTGGCGCCGTGCGTGGGTCACAACTCGTTCTCGGCGATTCATTCATCTTTAATGTATTGACTGCGATTCTTTTTAGGGGGCGACGATGGAACGCATTTAAAGCTGTGCGATGTATCGGCGCTCGAGAACACGCAGTGCGGTAAGAATGAGAGATGCCGTGTAAGCAGCAACAGCGAGAAGGCGCATTGTGAGTGCCAGCGAGATTTTCATTTAGTTAACGGGGAATGTATTAGAATTACATCTGCGGCGGCGAGTGTCGACGCTACCACCTTTAAGCCAGATCATAGATCCGAGTCAGGAGGTACGTGCACGTTGAAAAACACATTGAAGCAAATTAATTAATAAATTAACGTTGAATATTGCTTCGCTCTTAAAATATAGACCATGTGAAAGATTTAAAGGAGCTTCCATTGCTAGCAGACATAAAGTTTTGACAAAATATATCATTTTTCGAGAATATTCTTTGGGAGACGGACAATGTAATTGTCTTAGCTCACATGATTAGATAACACAGTTTAGCTTCGTTATTATTCATTCACTGATATGATAAGGAAGATAGAAAAAAAATGCAAGCGAAACTAATAATCAGCAGGACAATACCGCTGGCGACTAAAATCCAAATCAATTTTATTCAGGTAGCTCCGTAGCCGCCGGTCTGCTAATACCAACCTTCCTCGTAATAGTCGGTGTACTGCTGTATTTCGGCGCGAGACGATACAAATGGCTGCAACGATTTCGGCAGTTTCGTCACAATCGTTACGGCAATGTCCTAGTCACGAGAGACGACGACGACGATGACGATCCGCCGATAGCGTAAATAAAAATAAAAATGTTATTAACGCGAACAGAGATGCACACATCGCGTGTACAAAAGACGCACTTGACCAAAACTCGAAACGCGAGATTAAACGAGTGCAATGTACGCTTCTCTTGATAGTATATACGCAGTTACGGGTGTGATGAGTTCTAGTAAACTTTGACACACGTACATGTATTCAATCGGCGACGCTTGTGTGTCTTACCTTTAAGGAACATTACCCCCCCCNAGATATATATATATATATATAAAAGCGTTATATTACTCGCACTAGTTGTCGAATTTTTATATGTGATGGTTGTAAGGGATATTGCATAATGGACTGCATTTACGATAATTTTAAGTATTCACTGAGAGCATAATTTTTTTTACATTGATATTAATAAGCTGGTCAGTAAACTTTACATAATATTAATATAGGTGTATAATAATTCGGTGATTATTTCTTTTGTCACCATCTTTATTATATATGCAAAATTTTGGGAAATTTTGCATATATTAAATATTGCGTCATTATTACCATTATCGTCTATAGAAGATTACATATTTTTCTTTACAGAAATATTTAAATGGAGCAATGTGATTGATACGCACGGATGAATTTATATATATTTTTTTAAATTCTTCTAAAACTTCTATTAAAAAAGACATTTTCTTAAATTATAGTTTAGTTTAATTTTTTAGCTACAAAGTATTCTTAAATTTATATACGGTAAGTAATGAACAGTTTTTGAATAGATCTTTTGTATTTTCCAAGTAATACCATTTTTCAATTATATTATACATCAATATACAAATATTATACATCAATAATATTTCAATTAATTTCTTATTTTGAATGTCTTGTTTTTTTTTCGTAATTCTTTCATTCATTTACAATGATCACGGAATAAATCAATTTATTTATGAATCTAAATTTATGAATCCAAATTAGTACTTACTTTTTGCTATATAAGGTAATGTAATGTAAAGTATTCTGATAAATTATAATGAACGTGTGAATTTGACAGAGTTACCTTTTAAACTGCAAGAAATTTGGAAACGATTCCGTTTATACCAAAAGAACCGACGCACCATTTAATCTCTTCGATGTAATAAAGTTTGTAAATACTCTTCGCTACTCACACACGAATGCGTACTCTTGCCAACAACTTCTTCCTATAATTTAATCTAATCGTGATATGTAGGAAGACACTACCTGTCTATCATACGGGCTCCGGCTCGCGAAAGATTAATATACAAAATAAACTTTCGAGAGTTATATATATATATATTGTATACGCATCCTATTCTTGTACTCTCTCTCATTTTTGTACAGAACTATGCTCTAGAACCTAAATCATAGTAATTATTCGATGTATAGTGACATTGATCATCGATCAGACCGTCTCGATCGAGATTTGATATTTTTATAGTTCGCGAGTACAAATCTAAGAATGGCGAGTAGTACTGGCGAATTATTATTGCATTAATTTTAGTACGGCGACAACTAACTTTTATCACATCCGAAGTATGGCTAGTACTGTCTGCTTATTTGTTATCAGGTCAATGCATTTCAATGATTTGACTGAATATCCTAACTGTTACTATATATATTGCAGCCACGTTTATACAAAAAGTCATAGTAGATATTTGTTGAATATCCTGGTTCCTCGCCAGAAATGTGTGTTCAGATGTTTTCTTTTCGTCGAAAAACTATATTTACAACGATTACAATTTGTGTATGCGTGGCTCTGTTAAGTTTTAAATCATGATTCTGTGATGTATTTTATGTTATTATCGACTGAATTTTTATCGTTGATCGCGAACCACTGCATTTTTTTGGCACAATGAACGATTCAATCTTGAAGTATTTCTCGTGTAAATATTATATATTATTGCTGATATCAATCTTCGACATATTATTTTTGGTCTATATATATATATATTTCTCGCACATTAACAGGCAGTGTAAGTAGCAGTTATTTAAGGCTATCTGGAAAAAAATGATTGTCGCTTGAAACTTTAGTATGAAATTATTTGATTGTCTCTACGATTGCAGGATTTCTCGACTCGGTCTTATAATGTCTATGAATGTTTCTTATAGTATCAGATATTCCGTTGTATAATTTATGTCATTTGTACTATAATAATAAAGGTCTTCAAAAGTTCTCTGCAACTGAACATTTTCAAGTATCATTCTTTATATTGTCATTATGGCTGGCGTCAAAGCATATATATAAAGAAGGACAGTGTGACACAATGAATAACACAATGGTACGTATATTTTCTCACTCTTTTATATCATACGTAAATATCGACATAACCTTAAGACAAGATACACGCTCAGGAAGACTTATCCGCTAATAATATCAATCGAAATTTGACAAACGATAGGATTTAATGTATACAATTTTTAATAGGGAAATATATTTATCGCATTTTGAATTACAGTGTAACTTGCATTATAAGGAGAATATACATAGAATAGAGTGTCATACAATTATTTACAAGTTGGTTTGAATTAAGAAGAATATAAAGTTGAAATAAATGTTTTCAGCGCCTCTAACATTTCAATAAAGACTTCGATCTCGATTAAGTATCATGAATAATATGCATTATTATCGCAAATAAAATTATTATTAAATTGTATCATGTTTTAAATTAATTTCTGTATCCACGTTACTAATTCAGAGGAAACATAGTGCTTATTATATGACATTATCCTGCAGCATTTACATTATTACAACTGGATCTAATATTCATGTAATATAGAATTTCTCCAGCGAAATTATTGATGTTATTAATTGATGATCGATGTTATTGTTGAACATTAATCCTGCTTTTGCTTTTTATTGTGATATGCGTGAATCATGAGTACCGATAAGTATCAGGATGACTAATATCTCATTTTTTAAATCTTCTCATTTGAATTATGTTTTCCTTTCTAAATAGCGTGGCATTTTGCGATTTATACCATGATCTATTTAATTTCTATTTTTTCTTAAATTTTAATGAACAATTTATTATTTTATAAAATTCACAAATTATCAATAGCTAACTGAATCGTTTACAGATTATTTTCTACCCTCAGAGCGGCGCGACGCGTCGAGACGAGCGTGTCGTGCGTTCTTTGGAATGAAAGATACTTTGATCATCTTTGATTACAACAAGGCTAAGTATCGAACGCGCGATGTCTGTCCGCGGAAAGCCAGTTTCATAAAAGAAAGAAGTGAGTAGCGTTTCTTCCACGAAAGTGTCTTTCCTAGATAAGTCGATCGGTGGCAATATAAATTAGTCGTTTATCGTTCGTGAAGCAAGATAAAATTTCAAATCTCTCCCTCGTATACGATACATCATACGATGTTATATTCCATCAATATACGGTGTAATCTTGCCATTGTCTCTGCTGTCTATATTGCGTCCCGCTGATTTGTATAGCCTCCGGTGTTCTGTAATACGTCGTTCGGGCTCGATCGTTATTGTTAATGTTTGTCGGCAGAAATTGAGGACTCGGAACGAACGATTTTTGTTGATGCGGATGCTGCTGCTGCTGCTGCTGCTGCTGATGATGATGATTAATGGGCCTGGAGAGTTTGTAATTGTTTTCGGAAGGTTGTAGCACGGCGTCTCTACCCAGATGCTGTCTGTGAATAGGTAGGACGAATCCGCTCGGCAAATTGGCTTCTTGAATCAAGGTCGGCGTCAGGGCATCGTTTAGAGTAACGTCGTATTCACTATCGGGGATATCCTGAAGCCGATGCGTTACTTCGTTGATTCTCTGTTTGACTCTGTAGCTATTGCCAGGTCCCGAAGGCAAGTGGTCCGGGATATCCTCGTTTCTGTACGTCGAGCTGTAGATGTTTGGCGTGGTTTCGGTGCCGGTTCTGACTTTGCTACGGATCGGAGAATCGGTCTGTACGTTGCCGGTGTTCGCGTACTTATCGCTCGAATAATTCTCCGTCCACTTGGATGTTGGACTCTCATCTTGATGATTGCTTAAATCGTAGGATTGGTTCTGAGTAGAGTATTCTTTGGAGAAAATGGACGGATCTTCCGGACTCCTCGAGACCTCCTCTTCTTCCTCCTTTTCGTTGTGCTTTTCGATCGGTCTTCGTAGCACAGGTCTAAATATCGCGCTGTCATATTCGTCTTGCTGTTGCTTCTTCTGATGATCACTTTGAATGGTTTTGTAAATATCATATTGTTTATTGTCCGATTTCAGGTGTGATTCTTGATGATTGATGTCTCTATTATCTTCTTGTTCCTCTTGTACATAATAACTCTTGTGTTGGTTCTCGCGTAAAGCGCTTTGATGATCAGTGGTTGTTTCTTCCTCTCTTCTAGGCGAATGCGGCGCTTTGGAGCCAACCGGTGACAATCCTCTCGGATTAGGATTACCACCTCGAGATGGCAAGAAAGGCCTCTTCACGATTCGAACGGCAGTTCGTGATGGAGGAGGAGACGGAGACGGGGACGGATCTTCCAGCGGCTCGTCATAATATTCCGAGTATTCGTCCGTATATGCGACTTGATGATGGATCTGTTCGTTTTTACTCTCCAAGTCTCTGTCTTGATAATCTGCTTGCTGAGAGGTTCTCTGAGATTGCCCAGACAAATTTCTGTGATAATCTTGAATATCGCTCGCTACGTGATCGCTTTGTGTCTGAGTAGGTCTGGATGGTCGTTCCGAATACGATGGTTTTTCTGATGGATCAGTCGTATCCTTGGTGTTTACTTCAGATTTGTGAATAAGCTGTTCCGGTAAGCAGGTGGTTGTAGTTGTTGTAGTAGTTGTTGTAGTAGTTGTTGTAGTAGTTGTTGTAGTAGTTGTTGTAGTAGTTGTTGTAGTAGTTGTTGTAGTAGTTGTTGTAGTAGTTGTTGTAGTAGTTGTTGTAGTAGTTGTTGTAGTAGTTGTTGTAGTAGTTGTTGTAGTAGTTGTTGTAGTAGTTGTTGTAGTAGTTGTTGTAGTAGTTGTTGTAGTAGCAGTAGTTTTTTCGGTTGTTCGATCATATGAGTTTGGTCTTCTGGATGCTTCAGTACCGTCCGATAGATCCTTCGATCTCGAGGATGATCGCAGTCGTTCGACGTCTTTTTCGCGGTCGAGAAGCCGTGGCGAATATGGTCGTTCTTGCCTGTCGGAATCTTGCGATCTTCCGCGCGAATCGCGATCCGAGGATCTCTCGGGATCTTGCGATCTTCCTCGATCACGATCCGAGGCTCTTTCGGAATCTTGTGATTTTCCTCGATCACGATCCGAGGATCTCTCGGAACCGCGATCTTTTCCGGGAGATCTATCCCTACTTCGATCCCTATCTCGATCGAAATAGCGATCTCTTGAGCGATCCTGATGCGTTCTGAGTCGTGCTTCTTCCGGCGATGAATGATAACGAGTTCTAGACAAATTATTAATTATTATTATCAATGATTATTAATTAATTAATGATTAATGTGATGTTTAATGATCGCGTTAAACTTATGTAAATTGATTTTTGCAACCGTGTTTTGTTAAAAAATAATTTTAAAATGTTATATTGAAGTTTATATATATAATAGAAATGTATGATATGTCATATCAACGACTATATGTTAAGAATCTCCATCTTGATATTATTGATAGGATATGAGATTTTTCATGCAATTATATGATCCATTGCTGATGATATTACGATTTAATCAGTATATGACAGATTAATTTTCTTAAATTTAGTACTTTTTTTTTAAATATGTATATGAATATGATTTGTATTTAGTGGTTTAGTTTATTGTATATAATTTTATCGGGGTGTTGTGTGTACGTTACCTTACCTGATGGGACGGTCCCTGTCCCGAGTTTCATAAAAATCTCTGTCCCTATCTCTGTCCCTGTACGAGGGTCTTCTTCTGAGCGGTCTCCTGATCGGTCTAATATCCTCTAACTCATAATCGTAATAATCATCCTCCGTCAAATCTGCCGGTCGTCGTCGTGGTTCCTCTTTAATTATAATTTAAATATTTTTTAAAACAACGATTTAATAATTACTTTCTGAAAAGGGATCAATTTTACCTGTTGGTTGTACGGGAGTGGTTTTGTATGCATATCTATCTTGTTCCGAGATAGGTACCGGTCGTCTAATCTTGGGCGGCGTTCTCGGTCTCGCATAAACTGAACTGCTGGGCGCAGCTGGTTTCACCAGACCTTCCGCGTTGGACGTCGCACTCACCGAAGGCGCTGCAGGTTCCTTATCATCGTAATCATCTTTGTACCTAGCGTGAACGTAATATTATATCTTGTAAATGTTACTCAAACAATACGAGATATCAAAAAACATATGTAAATATTATCATATCTAAAATATATATCTGAGATCTTTCAGATGGGATGGACAAGTTCTCTCTCACCTCTTATCGGAATATCTTCGATCATCGGTATCTCTGTTTCTCGATTCCGTTCGTCTATCGTACACATCTAAATCATCTACCTCCTTCGATGTTGATCTGATACCCTGATCCGGATTTCTTCCCCGTGGTCTCAAGTCATCCTCCAACGGATCCCTCGGCCTCGGTGGATCTCTTCTGTTGCCTCTGCTCGAGTATCTGTCTCTAGCGGCATCTCGATCTCTATCATCTCTGCCGCGCGATGGCGGCTCTCTCTCCCGGAAGTCGCGATCGCGATCCCGGTCTCTAAACTCGCGATCTCTATCACGCCTGTACTTCCGGTCGTCGTACTCGTACTCGTCTCGACCGGCAAAGTCTCGCGATGGACGACCGTATTCGTCGTCGTAGTAGTCTTCCTCGTAGTAATCATAGGGTCTTCTTCTCGCCGGTGGTCTTCTCCTGGGTGGAATTCGGTCGCGTACAGCCGGTCGACTGGTCGATGCAGTAACCGGCATCACGGTAGTCGTAGTGGTGGTCGTAGTCGTGGCAGCTTGATAAAGAGCATCATTTCTGTGCCAGTACTTCTTGGAGTTGGCGCAATCGACCTCGGATACGAAGTGGCAGATGAAGGTCTTCTGGTCGAACGCCGTGAAATTGGCGCACAGGAAGTCGTAGCGAGTGCCAAAGAGACAATGATGATAGACCTTGAAAAAGAGATTCGAGCGAGATATAAGAATAATTGCGCGACACGCGGGTCGTTATCGACAGATTTCTAAAATTAGCGCCATATTTATTTTTATAACGACGATCGTTAAGACCGGTGAGATAAATTATGACGAATGAACGGACGTTTACGAAATCGAATCGATCGATGGGTGAAAGTGGGCGACGAATTGGCGCCACGTGTCAGGTTTTCGAGACTTTTGAGCAGGCTTAGTCGCTTTTTTTTTCATTTTTATTCGATTCCCCCAATTTGTTACATTCTCTTTGTATAACGAAACGTCGACGCGATGATTTTAGCACACTTTTCACCGCGAACGAACGCGAGCGATCTTACCGTACGCCACCACGTAGCTTTCACACGGCAGCTACATGTGTGCGACGGCGAATAATTGCATCGAGTCGCATAAATGTGCATCCTGCGGTACGAGAGAGGAAGACGGGGGGAAAAAAGAGTCGTTAGTGTGTGCGAGGGCTCGCCGTATTATCTGGCACGCACAAACGCCAGAGAATTATCTGGCAAATTATCTAGAATCATTTAGAGCACATCCTTTCGGTAAGTGTTCGACATCGTTTCACAGAGATTCTCGTAAAAAGAAGGGGCTGATCTTCTCCAATAATAGATCATGAATCTTTCTCAACTCGCCATGTAAATGTCAGACGATCATTGAATGCCTAATCGCGTGTTTAATGAGTTTCGCGTGGTGTAGAATAATTTCAGTATAGTTAAAAGTAGTTATATAAATATAAAACTTTTGCTAGAAATATATCCTTGTCCCGATTTATTTTCTAGTTTGTTATAATTGAATTATCGTGCGAGAATGCATTTTATTACAAATTTGATAAAATTTTTCGGCGAAATTTATTTTAGGAAACATTAATTCTTTCGAGAAATTTTGGTCTTTGGCAGTTTCAACTCTGTGAAGAATTTATGGTGGAAAGTTGGCAAAACGTTCGTCAGAACTTCCTCTATGCCAAATGCTAAAAACAAGTCACGGTTATTTGCATTATAACTGGCGTTAGAATTATTCAAAACGCGTCTTTCTTTATTTGACGAGTTTTTCCGTACAATCTTTCACATCTTTAGTTCCGTTAATAAGTTACAAACTCCACACATTATCGTTCCCGTAAACGTTACAACGTTCTAACGTTCTGTATAGATCGCGCTTGGGGAAGGGAGGGGGAGGGAGCATTAATTACCAGGGTCATTACAATTGTAAATCCGCCCGGGGAAAGATCAGAAAATAATCTAAGCGATCGCGAGTGATTTCCTGGCAGGAAGCCGGCCGCGGCGAATTAATTGCTTATTTCCCAATTTCTCTTCCGCGACAAATCCTTTGCAAGGTGCACAGTAATGTAAATCGTCTTTTCAACGTTCTTTTTTTCTTCTCTACGGCATCACACGTAGAGCGCGTCTTGGCCGGCAAATTTCGTCTACGATATTTGCATGACAATGGTACCTACACTCGCTCTACAGCCCCGTGAAAATGATCGATAAGAGATGATCGAGCCGAGTACGTCGGAAAGAGGCTCTGCTTTGTAATTCTTCGCTTTCACAATCGTAGAATTTTCGCGCGCACGTGAATCGCGGAACGGTCAGGGACAGGAAGCGTAGCGAACCACGAAAGTCCTCTTCCTCGGCTTCTTTTCACGGCGACCTTGTTATTGCGGCCGGCAAAATATTTTTCACTTTCGATATCGATTTCTACTCATGTTGCCTCGTTGCTTTTACAATCGATACTATAACGGTATACTTACCTACCATTTATTTGACAATTTTCGAAAATATCGATCATTTTATGACACGAATTAGGGGATGTACAACAAGTATTATATATATATATTATACTTGATATATAAATTCTCGTTGGTTATCATCGAAATAGCCTGCATTAATTGTCTATGCGAGTGTATCGTTATAGAAATTTGCGTCGCGGTGATTTAAATTACGGTAAACGCGATGTTAATTCTCTCGAGATTTTGTATAATAAACATTACGTCAGATCTCGCCTACGCTTCTTCCCTCTACATAGTTACAATAATTACCGTTCGTGTGTATATGGTAATTACATCAGAAGAGTAATGATTCCATTCAAACGCGAGGCAAAATAAATTTGCATCATTGCAACGATGATTTCTCAGTCGGTCGTTTTTCAGGTCGATCTCGTCATGCCAGGATTCACGGTGAAACGATCGCTCTCAGCGATGATTGGTAAAAGTGTGCTCAATCGATACGCATTTTTTTGCATTCACATCTCGTTCGAGAACTCGCTTTCGTTCATGGCTGCTCGCGTCGATGTTTATCAATCAAGTTCTTTGTAAATATCATTGTTGGTACAAATCGGATCGTGATTATTGTTTTTTTACCGTCGTTAGAGGAACGTCAATAAACTCCAGGTAATGCTCTCAGATCATTGACACCTGCTTATTACGCGATGGAGACATCGCCGTGTTCACGGAAGATCTTTCTTTGAAATTTATTCAAGCGACACCGACTTCCCTATCACCGTGGTTAGCGTCAACAGCATCAGCTTTTTTGCCGAACAAATAATTCTAGCTTATCGTCTATTTTTAATTACAAAGTAGCAGCGATAAAGCTTTAAGAAATGAATTTCGATTATATTGTCGTTTGGTGTAATAGGCATCCTTTGACGTAAAATTGCACGCGCTACGGTTGTGTATATTTTTTATTTTTGTTTCCAAAGATACATATCGCGCTGATATTGCCCCGATTAGATATTATTTCTGCAACATAAATATCATTAAATTAATTACCTGGCACTTGTGCGGCACGCTGGCGTAGAATCCGTCGTGCAAGCCGTCGCACTTGAAGTCAATATCCTCGGGTATACTATTATAGAATGGATAATCACTGAGATTATAGCCATTTAACTCGCGCGGTAGATTCGGGTCCCATATGTAATCGATTTGTGGAATTCCTGTTAAAGTGTGCCCGGTCGTTCCGTTTGTTTCGATTGCGACTGTTGTCGTCTGGAAGAATAAATGTTACAATTTTTTGGGGGACTTCGAGCTATCTCTTTTTATAATATTAAAAAATTAACATACATATCCTCGTTTATTTCAAAGGTTTGAAAACTTTAATACAAACTTATGTCTATGTCACATTTCATAAAAATAGCTTTCATTTCCTGTCGGAAATATGAGCATCGATTTGATTTTGTCGTAATAACAATTTCCGTATACCGTGGACGGAAAAGCGTCCGAGACTAGTATCTGATAGAAAAGTTATTTTACGCTCGAAGAAGCCGCTATGCGCCGTGCAATAATGCTTAGGGATGAGCGCTCGAGTTCGATTTGTTGATGTCACATTCGCTTGTTTGTGTGCGAAGGTGAACCTGTCGTGCGCGCGCGAGTTTGACGTTAATCGATTTGACGCCAACATAAATTAATCAAAGTGCTTCGGCGCCTTCGCAGATGCAGATACTGATGAGTCGATCATCAAATTGAATTTACGGAGCATACAAGTTTTACACAGTGATGTCTTTGTTACTTAAAACACGACTCACGATATTCATCGTATCACGCTAGTCATAAAGCGGCTATATTTTTTTGCAAAATTTAATTAGCGGTTAATTTACATTTGCTACATTTGTCTCGTATATATATCCGCGAGGTTCCCTTTTTATTTGCGAATCAGAACTCGTTTAGTATGTAATGCTCATAGCGACTAGAATCAGTTTTGCAACATTCAACGATAAACGATTGTATTTTGCATGCGTTACATGAATAATATGATTGCTACATTTAGCATCAGGATTGGGCATAATTTTGATTTAATTTGTTTGTTTTTTTAAGATAGAAATACAATTTGTATAAAACATTTATGGTATCATAAAGTGAGTTCATTGAATTTGTACCAATTTTAATCGCTGATCTAGAATTATATATTGTAATTTAAGTCGGTCGATCGTAAATTTTCATGTAAAATCCGAGCTTTATGGATAATTATTTGATTGTTAAGAATTATTAGATAATATTTGAGAATTAACATTTGAAGAATTAATATTTAAGAATCTTACTTTGTGAACTATTATGAATGTAGTTTTTTTTTTTTTTTAGATATATACCTCCGAATTTGCGTTTTCATTTTCCTCCACGTGAGGCTCCTCAGTTGTCGTCGTGGTTGTCGTCGTGGAGGTTGTCGCAATTTTGAATTTCGGTCTGGTCTTGAGTGCTGCGGAGACCGCATGGACCAATAATATTCCTACAAATATAAAAAAAAAACCAATCTCGTTATCGAGAGCATTAATTTAAGAATCATTGGAGCGTTACGAGTGAGAGAGTAATCACGAATCAGTTCCAAGTAAATATAATTCACTTTAATTGCCTGAAGAGTATCGATGGCTCTGATGAGCCATCCGATACATTAAGGAAAAAGGCCATCACGTATCTGCGGATTACGTAAATCGTGGAGAAGCGTCGGCGTTGCAAAACTTGGACGTAAAGTGTTGTGAGAATCTAACATAAGTGTTGTAATTTTCTCTCACCGAGAGCGAGTGCATTCGGTTGGGTAATTGTTTTTAAACGGATCAAGGCTGTCTATTGATCGTTTCCTTTCCATATTTCGTTGATTTACGATCGAACCATATATGTGATAACGTAACAAGCTTATAATGTATTGTGTATCAATTTACAATCAATGTTCATCATGAATATTTAGTCTTTATTTTTCAATTTATTTCTTTTATTGTTTAATTTGTATTATTTCTCTCTCTCTCTTTTTCTTTTTTCAATTTAGTTTTTAAATTATTTTTACTTTCATTCGTTTATTCGTTATTTTATATTATATTATATTATGTTAATATTTAATTATCTAAAATGAGTGAAAAAACCAGAATTTCCAGCGGCCATTTCCACCTATTAGGCTCCGTAGACCTTGTTACTGAATCACATTTGTAATTGTTTTGAAGTAGTTCAAGGTTGTTTTGAGAGCTAGAAGCTGAGGAAACTAAGACGTAAGGAAAGTTTGCGAAGTATGAATTAAAGTAAAGATATTTCTTTTCACTTTTTTATATTTTATCTCCCGAGATCGCACATCTTTATAGACGTGAATGTAATCAATAATTCATGCTCTAAGAATATATTTGATTTATATGCTGGTATTTCTCGAGAAAAGAGAAGTGCGTGAATTAATAAATGCTACATACTTTATCGGATTAATTAACAAATATTTAAAATAATTGCAAGCAAGTAACAGAGTAAGCACTTTTATAATGCTTGTAATCGTTGTTTTTACGATCGTTTTATGTTCCTCGCTCCGTTATTTTCGATACTCTAGATTCTCGAATATGGTGCTCATACATGCGGAAAAACGTGTTCGCGCGCCTCGATTAGGGCTGCGCTACGTGAACGCGGTTTCATGGACCGGAAAGTGGATGTCCTCGAAAGTGATGTTGAAAATGTGCATAGTGGACTCGACAACCGATCGTATAACGGAATTATACTTTTCCAGGCTGCGCGATCGATAAGAAACCACGCTGCGCAAGCCGACATTGTATGTATATAAAAATGAATTATGAGAACGCGCTCGCATTCCGTTTGTGGGAAATGTTATGTGGGCGTGCGCCCCTTCTATACACACAGTTACGATAAATCTGTTTTCATGACGAAATCACCGTTGTTACTATTACCGTGTCGGCGTATAAATAAATTGCTTCGTCCAATTGTCTATCGGCCCCGCGGAATCTCGATCGAATGGGAATGTCCTGACATTTTCCTTCTTCGAAGGGCGTGACCACGTTTTTTTTTTTACCTTGCCGCTGATTTTCATTGAGAAATTGTGATGCTACGAGACGCATTTACGTGTACATCTGCTTCTGATACATAATGATGATCAAACATTAGTTGTTTTTATCATCGTAAAGTTTATATAGCGTTATATGGTATCGTAAAACATTTACGATGCTGTAAGAATAGCAGTTTCTCAATTATTTCCTAATTTTAAAGCGAGATTTTAAAGATCTCGAATCAAACGTTTCCCGAGAAGCAGAAAATGTTAAAAAGCATTTTAAATGCTTAATTTAATTGTATTAATGGATATTACGAATGGAGAACAAATCGATAATGTTTTCAATTTGCAGCACGCTCTTGTATTGTGTCGTAAACAGCCGCGAGGTAATTTTTTCCGGCACACTAATTTTTATGGAATTTTCTGTTTTTATTAGATTTGGATTTTTTATTATTGCAACAAAACGATTATAGAACGATTATGAAACTGATATTAATGTTAAAAAATGTTGAAAAATATTATCGTTTTACCGAGTATTTTATCTGGAATTTTCGGACTCTTAAGATTATTCGTCACATGTCTCATGACGAGACAAAGAAAATGGTCCTCTTGACATTCACGACAGGTCCCCCTTTCTTCGTGGAACCTCTCTGTAAAATGCTTTTGCGAATTACACGCAGCTACGATCGCAGAACGAATACTAAATGTGTGTTTGACATAAGATGAAAGAGATTAATAAAAATCTTGTCTTACTTGACGATTCAGAGCTCAGTACTCTTTGCATTCGGTATTTTTGATTAACGATCCCTAAAAGTCGTCTTTCAAAACTTTCTTACAAGCTTTTTATTAGCATTGACAATTGTGTGAGCAAAATATGAGAAAAATATTTTGTCTTACAATTTTTAAGTTAATTACTTCACTTTTATATGATAATATACTTTCAAATAGTCAACTCTCTTCAATTTTAATATTAAGAGATTTAACTTCTTTGAATTATCCATCGCACACACAACTTAATTCGCTCGTCGTGGAAGGTGGTCGTTGTTTTGTATTGCACGGAGGAATCACGGTGAGAATCGATCTACGTGCGCGACTTAAAATTCTCAGATATAGAAGGCCGTCCACTGCCTCTTCGGCATTACCCTACGGCCGTGAAA